TGCCTGGGGCAGCTGGGACCAGGCGGGATGAGGGGCACAGGGGATAAGCCAGGCATCTCTCGGAGAGCCTCACGGGACGGGAAGAGGCCCACGCCACCCCTCTCTGGAGAGTTCCTGGGCAGCTAAGGAGGGCAGGCAGCGCATGGCAGGGCCTGAGGGCCAGTGCCCTGAGGCTTGCTGGAACGAATATCTGCCAGTCACAGAACTTAACTGTACGGCTGGGACAATGGTGGCCCAGCGAGAAGGTGGAGGATCCACAAGGAGGGAGCCTCAAAAATTCATGGAAAACATGGACCAAAAAGATAAGCTTATTTTGGTGAAAAAAATTTTTTGTTTTGAAATCTGTGCCTAGTTTTTTCATAATATGCGTTTTCCCTGAGCTTTTGGGACCTCCTGATGTGTGCTTTGGGGCACACGGACGCAGCCTGCTGTGCACCTGCTGCCCCGTGGTGCTCTGTGACGTGTCCTCATCCAACCTCACCGCGTGGCTGCCGCCTCACTTCTGGGGACCAAGCTACAGACATGATGCAGCAAGTGAGCTCACCTCTTTGGGAATATCTCTCGGCTCCCATGCTCAAGGAAGACCCCGGGCAGGCTACTCGAGGCTGTGCACTTGGTTTTCACAGCAGGGACTTGATGTAGTCCAATCCTAAGTTACTCATTGGGCCCATGGAGCTGGCGGAGGACTGAGAAAGAACACGCCGACTCACGACTCACGACTACAACCTCTAAGACGCCTGTGTGCAGTGAGCAGTTGTAAATCACTCAGCAGGTGGGCTGTGTGTGTGCAGCCAAGGGGGAGTGGGGAGGAGGGAGGGGGAGGGGAGAGAGGGAGAGGGAGGGGGACTCCTGCCTGGGCTTTCTCTTTCCCCAGCTGCTTTCTGTTCTTCCACACCCAGCTCTCCCAGGGCCACACCTGCCTCTAAGCAGTGTCACACCCACCCTGGAGGATGTGCCCAGGTGCAGGCAGGCAGAGATCTCCCTGGGGAGGGGGGACGGTGGCTACAGGGCAGCATCCCAGCTGGTAATCTCCCTGCAGACTGCAACGCCTCGCCCGTCATCCAGACGGCCACATGTGTTTCTGCGTGGGTCCCGGTGTGCCAAGGTGAAACGGGAGACAGGCTCTGAGCAGGCAGCTTCCTATGGAAACTGGAAACTGCTCAGGGCGGGGTAGGGGAGGGGCAGGGATGTGGGCTTTCAGCTGCTCCCCTCCTTCTCATCCCTCAAAGCAAGTCCAAAAAGTGAGAAGGCGCCAGAGGCAGCCATCAAATCAGAAGCGAATGGTCCCTGGTGCTGGCAGGTGCCCCAGGGCTACCCACTCCTGGGTAGCTGACAGAGCAGCTCCAGTCTGCTCGGGGAGCTGCAGGGGAAAAGATTCCTGCAGGCCCCTGACCCTCGCCTTGGCATTGCCAGGGTCACATCTACCTCCTTACAGGAGCCTTCAGCGATGTTTTCTTCCCCGCTCCCTTTTGCTTCTGTCTGACAGGTATCAAACTCCTTTGTTCCGGAGAGAGGTCTGGGTTTTCTGTGCTCGGCAGGGTAACCAGACGGCTTGTGTCTTTAGGCCTCGGGGGCTGGGATGCTCTGAAAGGCAGGACAGGGAGTTTCTCCAGAAAGGACCAGACCCAGTGAGGTGCTCTAACCACAGGTTACTAAGTGCAGATGGACCCACGGGGGAGGGCTCCCGATGTGGCCCATCAGCCTTCATCCTCTGGGCCTCCCATGGTCAGCTGGCGGATGGCCAGGACACAGCTAGACCCTGGACAGGCTGCCCCCATGCAAAAACAGCTGTGGGAACGGGGCTTCCTTCCCATGAGCCTAAGATCTGGGCGTAGATGTGGAGCACGGAATTAACTCAGTTTCCCTAGTCCTTGGGTTTCTCTTGTTTATCTAGCTTTTCTCCGCAAAGGAGAGCGCGGGTGATGATTGGAGCACTGAGCGCGTGATCTCCAATGTCTGAAGTTAGGAGAAGAGAAAGTACCTACGGGAAATGTTCTTAGTACAGTCCAGGACCCCCCAGGGGTACCAAAAACCCATGGTGGCTCAAGGTCACTGTGTAGTATGGTATAGTATTTGCATACAACCTATGCACACGCTCCCACGAGCCTCATCTCCAGAGGACTTACAATACCTACTACCAGGGAAAGATCGGATTCACAGCGTATGTCCTAGGCAAGCGTTTGTTCACACGGCTCAGAGGCTTTTGTTTCCACTAATATTTCCCCTCCCCGCAGGGTTGAGTCCATGGATAAGGAACTCTCAGAAACAGAGGGGCTGTATCTTCTTTGATTGTAATGAACTTGGGAAAGCACTATGATTCTATCTTATAAAACAGGAAGCTGGGGTTGGCACTGTGGTGTAGCAGGAAAAGCCACCGCCTGCAGTGCCGGCATTCCATATGGGCGCCGTTTCAAGTCCTGGCTGCTCTTCTTCTGATCCAGCTCTCTGCTGTGGCCTGGGAAAGCAGTAGAAGATGGCCCAGGTCCTTAGGCCCCTTCACCCACGTGGGAAACCTGCAAGAAGCTCCTGGCTCCTGGCTTTGGATTGGCGCAGCTCTGGCCATTGCAGCCAATTACGGAGTGAATCTGGATGGAAGATCTCTCTCTCTCTCTCTGCCTCTCCTTTCTCTAACTCTGAGTTTCAAATAAATAAATAAATAAATCTTTAAAAAAATTGCACCACAATAAAAGTATCTCTTCCTTCATTTCTCATGCGTTTCTGAAGTACCTCATGTACCCACTCAGCAAACTGCCTCCGTTGTGCAAGAGACAGGGCTGGATGCCCGCCTGCCTCAGGTTCCTGTGACAGGGAAGCTCTAGAGCAGGCTGAAAGACGGATCCAAGGCAGAGTCCACTTCCTGAGGCTCCTCGGGAAGGGCTAACCCCTACCCAGGCTGCTAAGGTGTCCCCAGAGACAGCACTGAAGGGAAAACATGTCAAGGAGTGAAGACTGGGGCAGACTGACCCGCTCCCTCTCTCTGCTCTACCCACTGGGCGGAGTGCATCCAATTGGCCACTCTACTCTGGACCTGTCCATAGCTTTAGCTTCTGGCACAGGCCACGCCAAGTGGACTCCCAAGGGGAGAAAGGCACGAAACTGCATAGGTTGTTAGTAAAAGTCTTGAAAGGGCCTCAGACTCCTGTGTTGACTTGTTGAGTCATCCAGGTGCAGGGGTGTTACTCCACCCTCTGGGACATGCCCCGTCCCTGGGGTGCTTTCAAATCCTGGGTGGGTGAGATGCCCACCCCTGGTGAAGAGGGGTTTTCTGAGCACAGCCACGGTCAGTGACAGCTCTTTCCAGATCATCCTAAAACTGGCCGTTAGGTGTCTTGTGTGGATGTCTCTGAGGCTTATCTCCTGAGCCCATGTCCAGCAGCACGTCAGACCTGCCTACCTGCCCGTCAGCTCACACCCCCCTTCCACCCCAGCCCAAGGGCTGCCTCCTCCAGGAACTATTCCGACTGTCCTTGTGTCGCCTCCTTTGGCTCTCTCATTGCTATTTGATTTATGTGCCTTGCCCACAGTTCTTCTCTGATTCTACTCATGCTAATTAATTGTGAACATAGTTCATTCTCCCCTAATAGATTATGAACTCCTTAGAGACAGGTACTAATATTGAATTCATCTCTGTGGTTCCCCTCTCTCCTTTCATGTCTGGCCAGGGATTTAGCTTTAAACTTAGTGGGAGAACAATGAAGAATTGTTAAGATGGAATTTACCTTGGTTTCTTAAATTAGGGTATCTGTGAAACAGATCAATGAGTCTCTCCACTGAGGACAGGCCCCACCCCATGCCATCCTTCAGCAAGCTTTATGGAATATGGTACCCACCCTTCTTCACCTGTATCATGAAGGTCACTGATGCCGAATCCAGCCAGGAGAGGGGGAGGGAGGGGGAGAGAGAGAGAGAGAGAGAGAGAGAGAGAGAGAGAGAGAGGCCAGACCAACAAAGCCAAGCATCCAAATGGAGTCTCTCCATTGCAACAGGGAAGACAAGGCACTGCGACCTTTTTATTCCTTTTCTGGGATGAAAAGTCTAGACATTCCTGAGGTGAAAGGTCAGAAGGCCTCACCGGGCCTAGGCCCTACCCATGTCTCAAGGTCTTCCAGGGAGGAGAGGATGAAGACAGAGCAAATGACCATGGACTTCAGATGGGGCGCGAGAGTGTGGGGGTGGCGGGGGGCGACCACTCCAGAATGTGCTGTGGGGAAAAGTGCCCTCTGACACAGGAGGTGATGGGGACATTCAGCAACGGTGGACACCGGTCCCATCGGGGCTGGTGACAGGCGGAGCAGGGAAGGAATCCAGCCCCTTCTCCCTGAGGCACAAACATCAGCTACAGGACTTAAACTCCCTTTGCTGGCCCAAGTTCCAGGAGGCAAGAGCCTCCGCTAGAGGTTGAAGATATTATCTCTCCATCTCTGTCTCTCTCTCTCTCTCTCTCACACACACACACACAGTGAGAGAGATCCATTACTGGCTTGCTAATTAAAAACCCAGTCCCAGTTGGAGGAGGAGAGTCCCCCTCCACACAGTCCTCCTTTAACAGGCAGTGTGGGGAGATCTTTCCCTTCTGTTTCCCATCAAGTCACTCTCCTTTGGGCATCGCAGACAGGACTATACCAAGCCCCTCTCCAGACCTCGGCAGGAAGTCCGGGCGCACAGTGAGGCCCCGCACACCTGTGCCCAGCTGTGCCGCCCGTCAGCCACCCAGCTGTGGGACTTTGATGTCTGACTTTGGCCACAGGGCACACGAGACAGAGGGGCAGGGCAGGGCCCACCTGCTTCTCAGAGGCACCTGGGGGACACAGGAATTGGGGAGGGGGTGCCTGGGGCAGAGGCACGCACAGCCCTGTCCCTGGCTAGGGGCCAGCCTCTCTGAGTCAGGGGCACCCTCTCCATCACAGCCATGCACAGACTCCCCATAGCCCACGTGGGACTCGCCAGAGGGGGGAGGGGCGTGTGAACGCTCCCCCGACCCCACAGGCGCCCAACAGTACCTGCCAAGGTCTTGATCCGGGACCTCTCGAAGAGCCTGGCCGAGCTGTTGTCATTATCCAGTTCGTCGTCCGGGGCGTCCCAGCGGGCATTGACCCGGCTGTACGGCGGCTGGTTGCCCACGTTCTCAAACTCCGTGGCCGATGTCATGTCAGCAGGCTCCTCTCAGCAGCGACGCCTGCCTCAGTCCTCATGGAAGGGTCCCTGGGGGACAGCGACACAGTCAGAGGGGCAGCTCCCGACCCCTCGCGCCGCCTCGGGGGAACTCAGCCCGGGGGCGGCCACCAGCGTCGGACGCCGGCGTGCGCAGCACAGAGCCATGTCATCTGCGAGGCATGCCTCCCGCCCGGGCGCTCTGGGTCGTTGGTTATAAAATAGTGCAGCTGTAGCCGCAGCGGCGGCGGTGGCGGCAGCCCCAGGAGCTGCGGTGGCGGGGACGGGGACGGAGAGCTGTGGGCAGTGAGGGTGTGGGCGGCCAGCAGGTGGCGCCCTCGGTCGCCGTCAGCCGCTTGCTCCGGAGCCAGGGGCTGGGGAGGGGCAGCCCCTACTTAGTGGACTGGGGCTAGACCCTGCCTGGGGTGGGGGCGCCAGGGTCAGGCAAGGAGAGGGGGTAAGTTAGAAGTGGGCCGAGTCCCACTCCAAGGTGAGTCAGTGGGAGACGCGGACAGGAGCGCCAGGCAGCCACGGAGGCACCAGCACCCCAGACAGCAGCACTGGGGACAGCCAGTCGATACCAGCTTTCGCAGCGGCTGAGATTCAGAAATCTTCACTCTGTTTTTGCCTTCTCTGAAGTGGTACCGGTCGCAGGAGGGCCCACGCCACCCAGGGCAGCTGCTGTCCCATCCAGGCCACCTGCACCATGGTGGTAAAGGAAGCCAGCAGGTGATGGCGCTGTGGGCCCGGTGTCCGTGCAACACAGCTGGGGTATCATCAGACGCACCGAGTCCTCACTCCGGCCTCTTGTATCAGGTTCAATCACTCACCCATTCATTCATTCACAAGTAATTCAAACACGCACCAAGCCCTGGAGAGGTGGCCGGCACAGTGCTGGGCAACTATGAGTAAGACAAGAAGGGCTGCGTCCTTAGGAGCTTATATCCTAGAAAGAGAGAATTAAGCACGCAACTACCAGGAAAGGTGCTGTGTGCCAGGACTGGGAGGGAACCGAGTGTGCTTGGAGACTCCGAGCAGGCGCTGGGTGCTGGGAGAAGGAAGGTTAAGCTGATTCCTAAAGGAAGCTTGGAAGGACCCGTGCAGGGACAGATGGAAAGGGACAACTGTCCAGATTGCACAGAGAGCAGGTGCACAGTCCTAAAGGTGAAAAAGAGCAGGACAAGATGGAGGAGCCTTAAGAAGTGACTAGAGTTGTGGGCATTGGGCCTGAGGGTTAAGATGCCCACGTCCCTCTGGACTCCCTGGGTTCAAATCCCAGCTCTGCTCTTGCTGAGTCCAACTTCCGCTAAATCACACCCTGGGAGGCTCAAGTGCTTGGGCCCCTGCACCCACATGGGAGACCTGGATGGAGCTCCTGGCTTCAGCGCCAGCCCTGCCCTGGCTGTTGTAGCTAGTGGGAGTGTGAACCAGTGGCTGAGAGTTCTGCCTGTCTCTGTCTCCCTCTGAATCTCTGCTTCCCAAGTAAATGAAATTTCTAAAAAAGAAGACGAGGCAGGGGGAGGCTGGGCGCGGTGCTGAGTGCCCTGGGCCCTTGGGAATCGGCTCCTCCCTCTACTGTGCCTGCCGCTCAAGTGTTTCCACCAGGAGCGTGCGTAAGGGACTCCAAGATGAAGTCTGCGAGAGGAAACAGGGCCAGGGCCTTCCCACCCAAGAGAGCTTTGAGCAGACGAGTGTCGACACCTCGGGGGCTGAGGCGGGAACCACACACACATACACACACACACACATGGGCTCCCATCCAGCAGGCCCGCATCCGCCACTGCAGGCCTCCAACACACACCCACCGCAGCCAGCACACGCAGGGGCCACGCGCACACCGGTCCCCGCCTGCTCACAGGGCTGCGGCTGTCACTGAGTCACTTAGCCTTTCTTCCCCCAACCTGATTAATCAATCCCACCACATCCCTTTGAGGTAAGACAGGAGCCAGAACGATGCACTTTAATTGCACAAGAGGGATAAAATAAAACCCAAGACCACAGACAGGACGGGGCCTCCCCAAGGTCATCCTGCTGTGGCCAGGAGCGAAGGCCAGACTGCAGCCCTGTGTGCCCCCATCCACTGGATGGGTTTTAGGGGAGCAGGTGGGGAACATGAGGGTGGACGTGGGGCACTCCCCAGCTGTCAGGGCTGGGCCGGGGAGGGGAAGGTTCATGGTGGGAAACCAGGCATCACCCTGGATTCTGCACGCCCAACAGAGCCAGGACTGCGCCCCCAGACTGCTCTTGTCCCTCAGAGCAACCTGTCTTCCTCCACAGGCAGACACATGCTTCCAAGGGTTGAGATTTCCCATTCAATTGCTCCACAAAGAGCTGGGAAGGAGTCTTACTCCCCACGCCTGGCCCCCTCCCTCAAGGGGAATGAATGGTCACTGGCTCCCAGCTCTGAGCCACAGTGAACTGGGCAGGCTGACCACAGTCCACCCTGAGTGGTCAGTCTTGGGAAGCGAGGTGAGCTCAGGCCCAGGGCACGGGCAGTAACCAGAGCCTGGCTCTCTCTCTTCGTCCTGGGCTATATTTAAGACTAGCCAAGAGAGGCCCTGGGCGTGGGGCCGGGGAGTGAGATTACCTTTGCCGTGGCTCCGTAAATAAGTCTGCCCCAGAAAGATGAGCTTGGCAGGCAGGCCCGGCGTGCCCGCGAGATTGATGGCCGCAGGTGTAGAGGAGCTGCCACTTCGACAGCCACCCCGCCTGCTTAGAAATGCCGTCCCTCCAGCAACTAGGCTCGGAGCAGGCGGCAGCCAGGCCGGCTCTGCCAGGAGCGGGGAGAACACCTTTGTGGGTCTGAATGCACAACTCTGTCTGGTGTGTGTGTGTGTGTTTGTTTTGGGAAGGCTCCTGAACACAAGGAAAGCAAAGTGGTCTCCCTCCTGCCCCCACCTTGCCCTGACCCCTGCTGTTGCATCCACCACAGTCAAGGGCTTGGGGGAGGGGCCCAGTGCTCAGGTGCGGCAGCTCCCCGGAGAATCAGGTGTCAGAAGCAGAGAGAGAACAGGCAAGCTCCAGATGGTTATTCCAGAAAAGCCCCCAAAGATAGTGCCTGAAGCCAAGTCCAACCCAGTGCATCCTTGGTGTCACTTGACTGTCACCTTGGCCCCTTCTGGGCTTGGCAGTAAAGCAGCACGGTTTGGTGGGGGTGGAGGGTGGGAGGGGTTGTGACCACAGAAAGGACCTGTAAGAGTCTCCCCCACCCCAACCCCCACCCCGGGGCTGGGGGGACTTGGTGAGGAGCGGACCTGGTTGTATTCCTGAGACACAGCTATCTGTCTCCCGTGGCCCATCCAGAGTCACACGGGATGGCAAGTACAGGGCTAACATAGACCCTAAACTGTACCTCTTGGCCCTGTCCTTGAGCCCAGGACAGAAGGCCTAAGAGGCAGCTCAGCCTCCAGCCCCTCACCAAGGCGTCGGACTCCAGGCCAGGGATGTGCAGCTGCCTCACCTGTGCACTTGACTCTGGCAGCTGGGCAGCCCCTGCCTCAGTGTCCCTGGAGGATTTGCTCCAGCTCCTGATGCTGGCTTCCTGCTAATGTGCACCATGGGAGGCAGCAGGTGATGGTTCAAGCAGCTGGGTTCCTGCCACTCACATGGGACCTGGATTGAATTCTCAGTTCCTGGCTTTGGCACTCTCTCTCTCTCTCTCTCTCTCACATAAATAAAAATTTAAAAAGGAAAAAAAAAATTATAGCTCAGGTTCAGTATGGCTAAGGCTGAGCGCATGGTTCCTGAGACAGCAGAACCAGGCAGCTTCAGCACTGTGGGTGACAGTGAGGCCCAGGCAGGCATGCGGCCTGTGGGCGACCCTTCCAGCAGGTGCACCCAGCTCTTCCCCTCCCCCACGCACCTCTGCAGTTCCCATTCCTATTCAGTGACAGCGTATAGCTTAGATTTTTTTTTTAAGATTTATTTATTTATTTGAAAGGCAGAATTAGAGAGGGGGGAGGCGGGGAGAGAGAGAGAGGTCTTCCACCCACTGGTTCACTCTCCAAATGGCCACAATGGCCAAAGCTGGGCCGATCCGAAGCCAGGAGCCAGGAGCTTCTTCCAGGTCTCTCACCTGGGTGCAGGGGCCCAAATACTTGGGCCATCTTCTATTGCTTTCCTAAGCCATAGAAGAGATCTGGATCCAAAGAGGAGCAGCCGGGACTCAAACCAGCGCTGTAGGAGGAGGTGCCACAGCCCTGGCCCCAGCTGAGGTTCTTAAAGTCCCAAGATTCTTCCCAGCTGAGGTTCTTAAAGTCCCAAGATTCTTATTCATGGTGGCCGCTATGAAGGATCTCCATGCAGCTGCAATACCCTGGTCACCCAGTCCAGTGCTGTGGCCTTTCCCAGACCCTTCTGCTCTGGTTTCTGTCATCAGGCAGGGACTTGAGGCCCACATGTCAGCACCTGTCTACCTGCATCATGGAAAACTCTCCTACCAAAGCTGGCTCAAGCTACGCTGCAGCTGCTAGAAGGGTGTGGTGGGTGGCACCACGGCTCCAGCCCTTCTTACAGGGATTTGGCTGGGAAAGGTGCCGCTCGGCTCTGCCCAGGCACTGGCTCATCAGCCTTCTGTCTTAACAACTGCACCTGTCAGCCCCTCACTGCCTGCTCAGGGGCAAATGTCCCCTGGGAATGACTAAAAGCAAGTAGAGGGAGGTACTCATAATGCAAAAAAATCCAGAATTGGAAATGCTCCCCAAACCAAGCCGTCTTAAGCAGCTGACCTTATGTCATGGATTCACAGTCACAGGGCAGGTGTACCACAAATAATCATAAAGAATCACCTTCAGGCTGTGTACAAAGTAGACATGAAACATAAATGAGTCTTGTGTTTAGACTTGGATCCCTTTCCCAAATATCTCAAAATGCACTACATGCAAATACTCCAAAAACATGAAAAAAAATCCAAAGTACTTCTGCCCCAAGCAGTTCACATGAGAAAATCTCAGCCTCTACATAGTTGCCACCGCTCTTGGGATTCTGGGCCAACATCGGCATTTTCAACTTTTTTTTTTTTTTTTTTTTGACAGGCAGAGTGGACAGTGAGA